AAAAAAAAGTGAAGTTGCTAGATCAGTGCAATCACAAAGTATAAGTGATGGACCTGGAATTGGAATCTGAGTCTGTCTCACTTTAAGATATGGGGGAAAAGTCCTCAGCTCAGAGGTTAAAAAGCCCTAATTTAAATTCCCTTATTTATGAGCTGTATGGCCTTGGGCACGTTTTTTGTATCTACACAATAAGGGTGATAACAGTACTTATCTCGTAGACTTCTTTTTTTTCTTCAAGATTTCAAGTGAATTAAATTTATTTTGATGACAAGATTCTATGATTATTTGAGAAATTAACGAATACAAAGAAATAAAGGGATGAAGGAAAAGCAATGTAGATGATTGTTTCTGTTATTCATGACTGAATAGCCAACTACCCCAAAACATAGTAGCTTAAAACATCTATTTTATTATCTCCGTGGTTATATACATTGACTGGGCCTATCTGGGTGATTCTCCTGCTGCTAAGCTGCAGTTATGGGAACAGATAACTGGTTGTCTCTTGTCTTTCTTGATAATAGACATACTAACAGATGTGAAGTGATACCTCGTTCTGATTTTGATTTGCATTTCCCTAATGATCAGTGATGTTGAAAACCTTTTAATGTACCTGATGGCTATTTGTATGTCTTCTTCAGAGAAAGTCTATTCAGATTCTTTGCCCATTTTTTAATTGGGTTATTTGGGGGTTTTTTTGCTATTGAGTTGTATGAGTTCCTTTTATCAGATAATAGGTCATAATCTATTAATTTAATAATATAGCTAAAGATTTATAAATTTTTTTTTTTTTTTAATTGCGGTACGCGGGCCTCTCACTGTCGTGGCCTCTCCCGTTGCGGAGCACAGGCTCTGGACGCACAGGCTCAGCGGCCATGGCTCACGGGCCCAGCCGCTCCGCGGCATGTGGGATCTTTCCGGACCAGGGCACGAACCCGTGTCCCCTGCGTCGGCAGGCGGACTCTCAACCACTGCGCCACCAGGGAAGCCCTGTTTTGTTCTTTTATTAGAACTGAAAAGAGTCACCTAGCTCTTACTGCCTTACACACTGCAATAGTACCCTGAATGCCAGAAATTCCCTACAAATATTGGAAGAGCGTGAGTCTCCATTGTGAATGGGTCAGATTTCTCTCTCACCCTATTTTTTCTTTCCTTTTATTCTATCTCTGTCTTCGCCAGCTTCCCCAGCCCCTACTTTACCAGCTCCCTGAAGTCATCTAGCACTTGGGCGTAGCAAGCATGTTAAAACGGCTCATCTTCCTCACCGAAGTGTCCTGAGCCGAGGAGGCCATTTTCTCCCATGCCTGTGCGGTGCGCCCCCAGCCAGAGCCCTTTATTTCCGCCTCCTCCCCTAACGCCCTGAACTGACATTCCCTTCACATTGCTTACTCTGCTCTGTAATCTGTCCCTCCCTTCTGCCTCTGCCTCCGCCAGGGGCTTGTTTCCTTGCCCTCCGTGCCTTTGAAGACCTGCTTGGTAAACCCTTAATTTTGTACAAAGGGATGCGTGTAGTTATATAATCTGTCGGGTGAATTGTCACTGTTAGCTTTGTAACGCGGTATGTAAGAAAAGACTTAAAACGTGAGACGTACGCCCCTATGTTGTTTGATATTAAACGCACTTCTATATTATAACTAATCATGGGTATAGAGGTAATATTAGCTGATCTCTTAGGCGCACGTGCCACATGCCGGGCACGAGCACCTGATGTTTAACTCCCATCATTTCTCCCCTCAAGAGAATTAGTAGTAGTATTCCAAGATACAGCTCACTAAATTAGCTGCCATATTTTAAAACAGGCGACTACACTAGGAAATTTTATACATGTGTGTATATATAAACGTGATTAATACCTATACACACACACTCTTACGTGTGTGCATATAGTTCTTTGGTTGTGGAATTGGCAAAACATACAGCACCCATGATCTAGCCTGTACGTATCCAGTCTCACCTTTTGCCTCTGTCTCACCACATTTTAGGTTTCACCTGCCCCACAAGCGTACTTCTTCCCTTGCAGAGTTCTGGTAAAGGTTAAATATGATATTGTGAAAAGCATTTGGGTCAGAGAAGGTTCTCAGCCAACTTCCTGTGGCCTCTCTCCCTGCCTTGGCCAAGTCCATCTTATTTTTTGATGAGTCTGTCGTCCCTCATAAAAGGAGAGCTTCTCGTAGTACTTTCTAACCCTACATGGAAATCCAAATTGAGGATAGTGGTTGTGTCTGGGGAAGGAGGGAAGAGACTGGGATTGGGTAGCAGGTGGGAGAGAGAGGACACACTCTGCAGTATTTTATTTCTTAACTGGCCAGTGGGTACATGGGTGTTTTATTAACTAAAGATTTTGATATATCATTTGAAATATTTTATAATTTCAAGCAAACGAACACAAAGCCTACCACTTAGGTTTTACCTCCGAGACCCTTCCCTCGAAAGCAGTTGAAATGAACAGGCAGCTGAACCCCTTTTTTGCTGGCCTCCAGAAGCAGGAAAGGGTGGCAGGTGGAGTGGGGTTCTCCGGGGCAGGGTGAGGCCCTTTGGCCTGAGACAGAAGGTATCAGGGTGGGTCCAGCTTATGAGGGACATCAAAGGTGTGCATCCTGCCTGTGCAGCTGATGTAGCCTTTCTTTTGTGTTTCTCTGAGCCGCTTCTCAGAGTGAACCTGGGCAGTAACTGGAGCTGCATTTTTATCTTTTTTAATATCTCAGCCTGAAATGCCGACATCCACTGTAGGCATCATGCATTTTTAATGTGGCAGTGATTAGAAGGTTGCTAGGGCCTCATTTCATTTCATTGGATGCTGTGACGCTTGTTACCTTCGTCGTATTTCGACTTCTTCCTGGGACGTTCCCCAGTCCAGGCTCATACTGTTGCTCCCATGCAGTTATTGAGGGTGTGTTTGAGAGTGCAATATTTTAAAATTATTTGTTGTTCAATTACTGAACAACCTAGGAGACTTAAGACGTGAATGCTTCTTAAATTCCTGAAAGGGAAATCGACGAATCCAAGTCAGCAGCTCAGTAAAGCTAGCTTCATAAGCCGAGCTCACTGAAACACATGCAGTGGTGTTTGTTGTGTGGGGATGCAGAGGTGAGCCAGAGGGAACCCCTGCCTCTCGTGATCCGGTGGCACGGAAAGAGCTGTACTTACACAAATGTATGATGTAGTGGAAAATACTGCAGTAGAGGTACAGAGAATTATGGGCAAAGAAAGATTATTGCCAACTAAGGGAAGGCTTTGAAAAGAAAGAGCTGTTGTATGAATTAAGCCCTTAAAGGTATGATTTTGATAGATACTTTTTTGTTCATTTATTTGTTTAATAAATATCCTACACCTACTGTGGGCCTCTGTGTAAATTCATGCTTCCCTGTACTCCACCACAAAGGAAGAGAGCCGTGCAGAGCTGAGCACGGGCATCTGAGATGCTGCCACGTGAAGGTGGTACACACCACCTCCACTCGTATTTCCTTGGTCAGGGCCTTGTTACTTCAGGGTGTGGGGATGTGCACTATCCCTTCCCATAAGCCTGCAAGGGTTGGGAACCTGGATAGCCATGATGAATAGCAGTGTCTGCCCCGAGAGTCACGAGATGAAATGCACAGTTTACCAGGATCACACTGGGTGCTGTACTGGAAACGGCCTGTAGGGGAGCAAGAGCTGCAACAGAGGAACTTTTGCAGGAAGGTTTGCAGTGATGGAGGCAAGAGATGACGTTGGATAAGGTTGATAGTCATGTGGGTGGTGAGCCGTCAGATTTCAGTAATATTTTTAAAGGTAAAGGCCAGTGGATTGCATCTGGGGTATGAGAAGGAAAAATCAGGTGTGACTTGATGGGTTTCAGCCTGAACAACTATAGGAATGTATTTGCCATTAACCCACTGAGATATGGAGGCACTGTAGAAAAAAGAGAGTTGGGGAAGAGCATCAGGGTTTGTTTTTAGCAAGTTAAGACTGAACACTAGGAGATATTGAACAGGCACTTGATATATGTCTGCATTCAGGGTTGGATCTGGGCTGGGAATATCAGTTTGGGAGTTGTCAGCTAATAGAAATTACTTAAAGCCATAAGATTAGGTGAGATCCCATGAGAGTGGGCGTCAGTATAGAAGAATAAAGGCCCAAAGACTTGAGGCCAGGGAGATGAAGAACCAGCAAAGACGATGATGGAGAGGAACAGCCATGAGGTGGGAAGAGTCAAGAGAGTGTGATATCCTGGAAGCCAAGTAGAGAAAGTGTTTTGAGGAAGGAATTATTATTACTTATGGAGCATTCACTCTATTGAGAAACTTTTGTATATTTTTTATCAACTCATCAGCACCACAGTCTTGTAAATATTGGTCTCCATCTCATAGGTCAGAAAACCAAAGCTCAGAATGGGGAAATTTATTCACAGATATTGTATTGATACCTTTCACGTGCCAGCTAGGATAATAGCCATGGAAGTTAAAAAACTTAAGGTAGCAAGCTCATAGGTAGTGGAACCAGTCTTGAACTCTAGACTGCCTGATCTACACCTGCACATTTTGCATCAAGAGATGATGTGTGAAAAAGCATTGTATAAATGCTGTTCCTCGGACCTGGGTCTTAGACAAAATTAAAGGAAATTAAGATTAATTGCAGAGAAAGAAACATGTTAGAACACATGGATTTTTCTTTTGCATTCCAAGGTTGATTTTTCTAAGGAGAATTTTCTCCTTGTTTCCTGACAATCATAGTTTCTTAATTGCTTGAAAATGTGATGATAATTTGACCCCTCAGTGTTTGGTGAGTCTGTGGACTAGTTGGGATATAAATGAGCTCAGTGCTCTGATAGAAAAAGTGGAAACCGCCTTTGACAGAGTGAGTGAGATCACTCAGCACACTGCTAACCACCTTGTAGACATGTTCAGTAAAGAATTGATGGAGTTTCTTTGCTTTCCTTTTGAGAGTTTCTAGTGATCGATGTTCAGAGTAACTTGTCATTGTGGCAAATAGTAGCTCAGACTCCTTTTTCTTCTTCTTTTCAGATCATGTACAAAATGAAGAAAACTATGCACAAGTTCTTGATAAGTTTGGGAGTAATTTTTTAAGTCGAGACAACCCAGATCTTGGCACCGCTTTTGTCAAGTTTTCTACTCTTACAAAGGAACTGTCCACACTGCTGAAAAATCTGGTAAGCCATTTCATAAAATATATATTTTTTTAATTACAGCCTGATCAAGGTATAGTAAGATCATAAAGAGAACAATATAATAATCTTCTCCCAACACTTGATCCTGAGGTCAAAAAAGAAAAATAAAAGTCTTTTTGGTCCTCGGTATGGAGTCACATTTAAGGAAAATGCCACTGTGAAATGCCTAGAATTTGTACCTCCGGCCCAGCTAATAGCAGGGTAGGTTTTTTGAATCTGAAAGAAACTTGTTAACCTGAATTCTCTTCCACATTCTCCCATTGTTTTGCTTTTGTGTTTGTTTAGATAAGTTTTAGTAACTCTTGCATTTTAATTAGTTGAAAGAGTGATTTTTTTTTTGTTTCAAACATACATGTCACCCTTCACTTGTGTGAAGACCAGCATGCATTTTGGTCGCTGATTTACAAATAATTAACCTCTCCCAACTCCCCATATCCTTTTAACACCCTCCCAAGAAAAAAGATTTTAAGATTTGGGGAATCTGTGGTTTCAGAAGTAGATGATGACAAGAAGAATCCCTAAAAATCTGAGACACTGGAGCTGCTGACCTAGGAGCAGACACAGATGGAGGTGGGGGGACCCACTGGGCAGGCAGTGTTGTCTGGGTGTCCTCAAATTGTGCCCATTACCCTCCCTCACCCTCACACTGCGTTCATGTCAAGAAAGGTTCGTTCTGTGTAGCACAGCTACCACACTTGTGTGTGAGTTAATTTAATCAAGTCTCTCTTCCCCTAAGTCCCAAGAGATAGGAGCAGTGGGAGGTTGAAAGATGCCAAAGGAAAAGTATATCATACTTTTGTTGGCTCCTTCCTGAAAGAGAGGAGCTGTTTCCTCCTCTTCCTCTCGCCAGTCTCAGCATTGCATCTTTGCCTCCTTTAAAGATCCAGAACTCAAGCTTAAGATGTCTTGACCCTGGGTCAGTTACTCATATCAAATAGGCATCTGTGGTCTTACGTGAGACTCGTGTCACAAATCTACTTGGTACAAATGGCTGTCTTCCAGATGTGAATACACCCTATTGGAAAATAAAGACTACCTTTCTATAGTAAATTAGCCTGGTTATTTGACCAATCAGAATATTCTTTTTTTTTCTTATCCCACTAGATAAATATATGTATGTGTCTGTCTCCCTGACAATTTAATTCTGTTTGATAGTTTATGCCACTGAATTAGTCTTACACAGTGACAGCTAATCTTAAAGAAAATAAAGGCTGAAAATAGAAATATGTCTTCTTTTCAGAAATTTGAGAAAGGATGGTATTTAACTTAGGGCCTATGTATTCCTACACTTTGGGGTTTATTTGACAAACCCATGATATTTCTGTAAATCTTAGATTATGTGAATCTCTTTGATTCAGATGAGGCCTCCCATTTCTCCTTCCTCTGGGTACTGCCTGCCTTTTTGTGGGTGGCATTGCTCAGAGGTACTATGGTGGGAAGAAAAGAAGTGAAAGAAGATGCTGACAGTTCGCTTCGGTAATAACTGGTAAACGGCTACTAGTGAGGGAGGACGTTCTGTTTTCCCTGAGATGGGCGTTTTCACAGGAATATCTTGCTAACCTTTAGTTTCCAGGAGACCAAATGTATGTGGCTTGAGTCAGTAGCCATCACTTCCACGTTTCCTGGGCCAGTCCATTTCCACACTTTCCTACCCTGTAGGTTCCTTCCGTGTGTAGGGATTCGTGTGTGGATTTCATGCCGTCCACACGAGTCAGTGGCCATTCAAGCATCAGTCGTAGTCTATGTTTGCTTAGCTCTGTATGGAACTACAGAAACAACTGTAGCTACAGAACTAATAACTACGGAAACAACTGGTAGTTACTGAATGCTCTGAGGAACCTGGCAGTGTGCTTTGTGTGGATTTATCATTTAACAATTCACAACAGCCCTGTGGTGGTTTTACCTTTAACCGGGACGTGTGCACTGAGGCACACTGAGATTATGTCTGTGACTTGTTCAGGCGCGCTGTCGGTAAGGAGGTGGAGCCCAGCATTCTGTCGCTGCATCCATCGTCTTTCCCAGCCTACTCAGCACTGCCTGGCACCTCGGCTCTGGTTGTCTTCTTTTTTTTTTTTTTTTTTTTGCGGTACGCGGGCCTCTCACTGTTGTGGCCTGCGGAGCACAGGCTCTGGACGCGCAGGCTCAGCGGCCATGGCTCACGGGCCTAGCCGCTCCGCGGCATGTGGGATCTTCCCGAACCGGGGCACGAACCCACGTCCCCTGCATTGGAAGGCAGACTCTCAACCCCTGCGCCACCAGGGAAGTCCCGTCTGGTTGTCTTCTTTCCCTAAACATACCCCAAGCTGCAGGCCTCCTCCTTCCAGAAGTCTAAGAAAGAAAGAAAAGAAATTGCTGGAAGATTTCATTCAATTAATTTAAAAAACAAAAACAAAACCATTTTCCCTTAAAAGAAGGTGGTGGCAGGGAGTCCCCTGGTGGCCTACTGGTTAGGATTCTGGGCTTTCACTGCTGTGGCCTGGGTTCAGTCCCTGGTTGGGCACCTGAGATACCACAAGCCGTGCGGCCCGGCCAAGAAAAGAGAAGGTGGTGGCATTTCCAATGAGGGAGCAGGTTAGAAGAATCAGTGTGTATTGTAGCTGGTTACTAAGGGAACACTCTTCTGATTGAATAAAGTCAGTCCCAGGAGTTCGTAAGACCCGACAACAGCCAGCAGCTTGCTGCTTCCCTTTTCATGTTTTGCCAGGAAAGGGAAGAGCAAACCAGGAAGATTGACGGGGTCACGCCCCAGAGCAGAGGGCGGAGAGGAAGCCAATCCCCTCGGGGAGGGAGGGGTTTCTGAGTCAGTTGCAAGCACCTTCAGGCCCCAGATGAGTTTGGGGGAGCACCCCCCTGGGAAGCTGTTTTTCTCAGGAGATTCTTGAAAATCCTATTCTCTTAGGCTAGTGAAGGCTGGAAACATTAAGCAGTAATGGATACAGTTGAAATTTAGAAAGTAAGACTTTAAAAAAGGTACCTTGGTATATATTTTAGACTTCCTAAATTGTATCCTCAATTGAACCGGCAGATATCCAAATGTCTGTTGTGTTGAGGTCTATGGTCAATCCTGAAAAATGTCATTTTCTAATTAAGATACTGCTCACGATGGGTATTTTAATAGTTTATATTAAAATATTATTTATTTTTATGGAGGAAAGTGTCGGTTTTGGGGTCAGGTCTAGTGCTCTGCTTTTGACTGACTCTAGGTAGGGAAAACTTTTATTAGTCGTGTTATTAGGCAATCAGTATTATAAGTATATTGTGTTTGGGAGTTTCTGAAGGGTTGGTCCTGAAAAACATCAATGTACTAAGTGCCGGTGACTCTCTCAGCCACCATTTAGATTTTTGTTTTTCTAAACATTCAGTGAGCCTGGAAGGTACGCTGATCAAGTGAGAGGTTACATGCAAACTCCCAGGAGCTGCCCAGATGTTGGTGTTAACTTCACATGGACTGAGGCTGGCTTTTTATTAGCCAGCTTCTAACCTCTTGCATCTCTGAGCTTTTTTTTTGGTTGCGCTGGGTCTTAGTTGTGGCAGGCGGGCTCCTTAGTTGTGGCATGTGTGTGGGATCTAGTTCCCTGATGAGGGATTGAACACGGGCCCCCTGCATTGGGAGCGCGGAGTCTTATCCACTGCGCCACCAGGAAAGTCCCTAACCTGTAACTAATAGACATCTGAGTACTGCACTGAGCCAGGTTTAAAGAAACTTGCTTTTCTTACTGCCTAGAAAATAGTTTTTATAAAAAGGTCATAATACAGGATGGGAGAGCTCGTGCATTGTAAGTGGTGGGAGGAATATAGGTTTTGGTCGCTATCGGACCTGGACTCCCAACTCCCAGCTCCCAGCTTTCTAGCCTAAGGCAAATCACTTAACTTCTCTAATGCTAGTTTCCTTATCTGTAAAAAGAAATTATAGTATCTGTTTCTTGGTAGTGGTGGGCCTTGATCGAGGTCCTGGAAGTAAATCACCAAACATAACATGGAATTTGCTGTGGAATTTGCTTAACAAATACAAGCTCTTATTATTACTTACATCTTCTTGCTTGATCTTTATGGCAGCCCACCGTGTAATGGCAGGTATGGATAGTCATATCCCATTTTGCAAATAAGTGCATCAAATCTTCAAAAAATACTATGCCTGGGAAGTAGTGGAATTAGGGCTTGAGCTCAAGTTCCCTGACTAAGGATCATGCTCGTGTGGATTCATCAGTGCTGCGTCCACAAATTACAAAAGTCGTGATGTTGCCTCTACAGACTGTGGGTGCTAACGGCCCATCTGACACGGTGACTGGAACCTGTACCAGTAGTCGTCCAACTCCTGTTTCTCTGTAGCTTGCAAAGTACTATCTTCTTTACTTTTTCCTTTGGGTTTCCCTCATTAGTGAATTACATATATTATATTGGAAGAGTGTTAGCTAGTAGTTCTCAAACTTGGGTGTTAGGACCCCAATCTTAAAAATGTTTGAGAACACCAAAGAGTTTGTGTTTATGTGGACTATTTCTATCCATGTTTACTGTCTTAGAATTTAAAACTGAGGAATTTTTTAATGTATTAATTCATTTTGTTGCAGTATGTTGTTTTACTTGAAGTAGACAAAAAATTACAGTCTCATACAGGTCTATATATTGGGAAGAGAGCAAAGTACTTTAAGAGCCTTTTCAGGTAATTATCAGTAATTTTATTTGATACTATGTCAAAACGTGATGGTGGTTCCTTAAAAGTTAGTAGCAGTATGAATCTGAAACCATATAAATTAACTTTAAGGGTTTGGAAACTGTCAAGCTCACGGTGACAGAGGTTTTCCAAAATTTTAACTTTTCTCTGAAAGCTCCAGTTTTATCATTAGCAACAAATACTGTCACTTGTTCACCTTGTAGTGATGAGTAATTCATTTTCAAGAAAATGTTTGCCAAATACCCAGGTCTCAGTCACTCTTTCAAGGAAAAAAGTGGTGTTCCAGTAGAAAACTAACAAAACCAGCCAG